GCGTTGTCGTTCACGTCGGCCACCTCCACCGACACGCTGGCGGTGGTCCACAGTGGAGGCGAGCCCCCGTCACGCGCGGTCACCACCACCTTATACTCAGATGTGGTCTCTCGGTCCAGAGTGCTATCCAGTACCAGTGAATAATAGTTTTTGAAGGTGGATACCAGCTTGAAGGGTGCATTGGGTGTCAAAGAGCAGGTCACCTGGCCATTCACACCTGAGTCGAGGTCAGACACCATAATGAGGGTGATAACCGTGCCAAGTGGAGCATCCTCTCTAATGGGCAAAGACAGTGAAGTGATTGCCAGTTCTGGCGCATTATCATTTACATCCAGCACTTTCACCAAAACTTTGCAGTGATTTGACATCGGAGGACTTCCTTTATCAACTGCCTTTACTTGAATTTCATAGGATTTCTTTTCTTCATAATCTAGATTACCAATTACACTAATTTCTCCTGAGGTGGAATCAATTTTGAATTTTTCTTGAATGTCAGGAGGATCACCACCGCCAAAGGAAAAAATTACTTCACCATTTACACCTTCGTCAGCGTCAGAGGCATTTAGCCTGGTCACTAATGTTCCATTTGCTATAGTCTCTAATAAGTGAACTCTGTACAGGTCCTGGTCAAATACCGGGGCATTATCATTCACGTCAAGTACAGTGATTAGCAGCTGAACTCTACCTTCCAGTTCTGGTTTACCCCCGTCAGTAGCTGTCAATAATAAATGAAGTTCTGGTGTTTCTTCTCTATCCAAAGATTTTCTCAGTTCAAGAGAAAGAGATTTACCCAGTTCATCATTTGCTCTTATGTCCAAAGAAAAGAAATCACTGGGACTCAGAGTGTAAGTGAGAAGAGCATTGGCACCAATGTCTGCGTCAACAGCGCCCTCTATCGGAAAACGCGAATCGAGTTGTCTACTCTCAGGAATAAATAACCTTTGTTCTCTGTTCCGGAAGACCGGTGGGTTATCATTAATATCTTTAATTTTCACCTCCACGTGGAACACCTGCAGCGGCCTGTCCACGATCACCTCCAGGTGCAGGCTGCACTCCGCGCTGCGCCCGCACAGCTCCTCCCGGTCGA